TTTAACTGTTATCAATAATTATATTACAGATGTGCTCTACCGACCAGACATCGCTCTACCGACCGACCAACAAAGTACTGACCCACCAACGCTCTACTGACCCACCTACGCTCTGCTGACCGACCAATGCTCTACTGACCGACAGACCAATGTCTGCTGACCGACCAATGTCTGCTGACCGACCAACGCTCTACTGACCGACCAACGCGCTACTGACCGACCTACGCTCTACTGACCCGCCTACGCTCCGCCGACCTGCCAACACCCCGCTGACCCGCCATCGCTCCACTGACCCTACAACCCACCCACCTTGAACACAAAGGGGTTTCTACGCCTCCACCTCATTTGCTCATTTGCTCACAGCTCTGTGAATTGTTATAGGCCTCCTTTAGCCAGGAGACGAGAATTTAGTTTCAATGATAAGTTGGTATGAAGTTAAGTTCCATGGCCTTCGGCCAACCAAAAATACATTCTCTGCAGCTGTCCTCTTACACTGAGGATTCAGGAAGACCTACAGATTCAGCATTTCATCTTATGGGACCATCCCGTCTCACTGATATCATTGTTCACCTACTTCCTCACCATGTGAGGTCGAGACAATCTCCATCCTCTAACTCAGCCATCTGAGACATCTTCTCTCTAACACTCCGTCTCTCCAGCCTCAATTTCAGTCAATTTATTTCTGACAACCGCCTGAATATTCCCCATTTATTTGGAGCCTGGCTCCTTTAGTCAGACTGAACTGCTTGAGAATTGGAACTATAGAAATAAACTAAAAAAAAAACGAATTTCCATCTGATATGCAATAACTGAGAGAAGTCAGATCTGACAGTTTCATCTTTTCATTTAAGGACGACATCTCTGGACCTTTGGTCAACACGTACCTCCCCAGGATCTCCAGCAGCTCGGCCACTCCGTTGAAGTGCTCCGTCTCATAAACAAAACTGAAACAGCAAACAGTTTAAACATCAGTCTTTGAAAGAAGGAAAGTTGATAAAATACAAAAAAAGAAAACATAATTCTGGAAACTTTCTCCTCATAATTAGCAGAAACAGCAAGAAGAAAAATAAAGATTGCCTGGCCCCCCATAACTTTAATAAACTGGGAGCGCTCATCTAAAAAAAACAACTCACCGTAAAAAAATATTGTTGATCTGTTTTCGTATAAAAGCCCTCAGCCCAAGGAATTTCCCATAGATTCTATGCAACACCGTCTTCAGATAGTCTCTTTCTCGAGGATCCTCACTGTCAAACAACTCCAACAGCTGGACGACAGAAAACCAGCAAAGTGATCAATTAGAAAAGGACGCTGATGCAGTGGAAATGAAAAAACACAAATAACTGGTGGAAAAGAATAATTAAAAAAAAGACATCTCACCTGTAGAACAAACTTCTGGTCTATGTACTTTTTGGCAATGCTGGGCTGGAACTCCTGACTCTCCAAGAACCGGATGAAGAATTCATAAACCAACTGAAACAGATTTACGAGGTTAGGGTTAGGACGGGTTTACCACC